AAAAAAAAAAAAAAAGTTTAAAAATTAGCCAGGCATGGTAGCACATGCCTGTCATCCCATCCCAGCTATTCGGGAGGCTGAGGCAAGAGGATAATACTTGAGCCTTGGAATTCAGGAATGCAGTGAGCTGTGATTGCTCCACTGTACTCCAGTAGAGGTGAAAGAATAAGACTCTCTTTCAACCCCAAGAAGGGGATAAAATGTATGGAAAAATAAAAAAGAACAATATAATCTGGAACAGTGCTGCTGTCTCCTACAAAGCCCAGCTTAAATGTTGTCATCATGCCAGCATGACTGGCATTTTGTGAACTTGCCCTGTGTACACTTAATTCCTAGGCTCTGTTCACTCTATTTGTTGTGTTTGAAATTCCCTTCCATCCTTTTCTTTTTTTTTAAATCGGCTCTAGGGCTGGCTACGGTGGCTCACACATCTAATCCTAGCATTCTGGGAGGCTGAGGTGGGTATATTTCTTGAACTCATGTGTTTGAGACCAGCCTGAGCCAGACCAAGACCTTGTCTCTAAAAATAGCCAGGCATTGTGGCAGGTGCCTATAGGCCCAGCTACTCAGGAGGCTGAGGCAAGAGAATTGCTTGAGTCCAAGAGTTTGAGGTTGCTGTGAGCTGTGATGCTTTGGCAGTTTACTGAGGGTGACAAAGTGAGACTCTGTCTCAAAAAAAAAAAGAAAAAAGACCAGCTCAAATTGAACTTCTTTTAAAATAACTACAGTTAGAAGTTCTCCTCTTCTAAATGTTATAAGTACTTTTTTGTACTGAAATTTATATTAACGTTATTTATGAATACGTTTGTCTCTAACTATTCTGTGAGCCTTGAAGGATAGATATTGCATCTTTGACTGTTTGTTTAGTTTTTATTTTGAAATAATTATGGACTCATGATAAATTGCAAAAATAGTACAGAGTGCTGTATATCCTTCACCTACCTTCCCCAAAATGTGACCTCTTAGGTAGCCACAGCAATATTAAAATCAAGAAATTACCACTATTGGGTGGTGCCTGTGGCTCAGTGAGTAGGGTGCCGGCCTCATATACCGAGGGTAGCGGATTCAAACCTGGCCCTGGCCAAACCGCAGCAAAAAAATAGCCAGGCATTGTGGTGGGCGCCTGTCGTCCTAGCTACTCGGGAGGCTGAGGCAAGAGAATTGCCCAAGCCCAGGAGTTGGAGGGTGCTGTGAGCTGTGTGAGTGCCAAGGCACTCTACCAAGGGTAATAAAGTGAGACTCTGTTTCAAAAAAAAAAAGAAAAAGAAATTACCACTATTGTCAGCTAGTCTACAGATCTTACTCAGTTTTCACCATGCAGTTTTGATTTTTAAAATAACAAAATAATATTGTTTAAAGTGAAAATTACAAAAAAAGCACAAAGATGAAATTCATCTGTAATATCAGTTAGAGCCACTTTTATATTATCATTACAGACTCTTATGTGTAACTCTGTGACTTAATATCTGTTTTCGTGTGTTTGCTCTGTAAAATAGGACTGTATATAAATATATTTTATACCCTTTAAAAATTTGTACTTTTAAATATATCTAGAAAGACAATCAATGTAAAGTAAAAACCTGGAGAGTGTATCCACTATTAATCTTAATCTCAAAGGGGCTGGGATAATTGAAGAAGGTAGGTCAGTGTAACTCTCCAGCTCTTAAGGTAGAAAGAAGGGTATGAGGCTCAGAGGAAGCCCATCTAAGGAAAAGGGCTTGGCTATCTGCTGGGCTGTATACCAAGAGATAACTGAGAGGTATCAACTGCTAGGTATCCTAGTTAAAGTTAAATAGTGTGAGTTAAATCACAGTAGACCAGTCATTGGGTACAGAATAAAGTTGTTGGGAAAAGAAGGTAATAGTTCCTCAGAAGACTGAGTCTTTATCTCATTTTTTGTCTCTAGGAGAGAAGCCTTTCCTTTGTGAAGCCCAAGGATGTGGCCGTTCCTTTGCTGAGTATTCTAGCCTTCGAAAACATCTGGTGGTTCACTCAGGTATTATAATAGAGCCAGAACCTATGCCATTTGTAAAATTTAGGGAAAGTAGAGAGACAGAAGGATAAAGGGATGCGGGAATGCTATAAAGAAACTTAAAAAGAAATAAACTGTTCAACGTAAAGGTTACTAACACCATCATCATGACAGAATCAAAAATCAAGGTCCTTAATGAGTGGATCTTATAATTCAAAGCGTTTTATAATCAAGATGTGAGGGAATGTAATTATTGTTTTTAGCAGAGTCACTTCTTTCGAATCCAGACCTTTTTCTGAGTTCAGCAAATGTGTTTGGCATTTTGCTGGGTGCTTTACAAGTTATATCAAACATGGATTCTCTTTTTTAGGAATTGACGTTTTCATTCTTCTGGGAAAGAATTTCAAATCGTAAGAAAGTAGAAGGTTGATGTCAGTGGCAGCAGCACTGCCTTCTGAGGAGGCATTATTAATCCTGCTTCAGTTCACCATTTTGGCAGAAAATATGTCTTTGGCAAATAGAACCACAACCTTACTGTCAGATGTGTAGCAGAGGACAGAGGAGTAAGACTTAGTGACCTATTTTCTATTTTGGAGGCTTAAATTCTCTGTAATTCTGTCAATTTGCTCATTCTATGTAGATGGCCTGGTTTTCCCTGCTAATGACGTCTTTCAAAATATCTGAAAATACTCTACAGCAACCAGCCTGTCAGCTCAATAGAAAAAGCTAAAGTGATGTCTTCTCCCTTCCCTCCTACCCCATCCTCCCAGATAGAAGTAAGATATAGCCCAGGGGTAAATCTTTATCTGGTTAGACGCAGGGGTCCTCAAACTTTTTAAACAGGGGGCCAGTTCACTGTCCCTCAGACTGTTGGAGGGCCAGACTGTGGGCCCCGGGACGAGTCGGCTGCTAAGCAAGACAGGCAGCAGTGGCAAAAAACACCCAGCAGGCGGATAAATGTCCTTGGCGGGCCACATGTGGCCCATGGGCCGTAGTTTGAGGACGCCTGGAGAGGGACTATATCCTGTGGGATATATGAACAAGGGGTGAAAAAAAGGCTAGAAAGGTAGTTTAAGAAGAGCCTAGAATGCCAGGGAGGAGGAACAAGGGGTGAAAAAAAGGCTAGAAAGGTAGTTTAAGAAGAGCCTAGAATGCCAGGGAGGAGAGTTTGTGGAGTCTGCTTACTACAGATTAATCTGGCAACAATGCATAAGCTAAACTTAAGAAGACTGTTATTTTCAGTCTAGTTAAAAAGTTTGCTCCAGGATGCCTCCTGTGGCTCAATGAATAGGGTGCTAGCCCCATATACCAAAGGTGGCAGGTTCAAGCCTGGCCCCGGCCAAACTGCAACAAAAAATAGCCGGGCACTGTGGCGGGTGCCTGT